CTCCTCTATAAGAATGCAAGCTCCTTGAATTCAGGGACAGGTTTTGGCTTTTTTCCTATTTCTAGCTCAGCACAGTTCTAGGTACATAGCAGGCACTTAAAATTTGATACGATGCTTGGTGCTAGGGCAAAGCAAACTGAGGCATAGTCAAATAGGTAAGAGAAAAAAGTAAGGAAAGAGACAATATCCAGTAGGAGGAGTCAGTCAACAATGTCAAATCCTAGTAACCTCAATGATGGTGAGGATGGAGAAAAAGCTAATCATTAGTGTGGCCCTTTGACTGAATCCAAACTTCACAGAACAAATCCCTTTAATAAAAGGATCTGTTCTGTAAAACTTGGACTCAGTCAAAAGGCAGGCCTTGAGGTCACAGGTTCCCCACCCCTGGGCTAATGGAGTTATCATTTAAGGGATAATTTGTAATCTTTAAGAAAGCAATTTCAGTAGAATAGACAGATTGCAAGGGATTAGAGAGTAAGAAGGTGATTAGGAAGTGGAAGCAGTAATTATAGATGACTCAGTGTAGCAGTGAAAGAGAGGAGATATAGGAAAATAGCTTGAGGGAACAGCAGAGCAAAGTGATTTTTTTTTATGATAGGGTAGACATGAGAATATTTATAGGAATTGGGAAAGGAGACAGTAGTCAGAGAGAGACAGAGACAGAGAGAGAGAGAGAGAGAGAGAGAAAGAAATTGAAGATGAGAGAAAAGAGAGAAGGCATCTCAATTTTTTTTTGTTTTCTCTTCCCCCACCTCAATCTTAACATAACAATCTTAACAAATAGAACTCATTATTTTTCTCTCCCACTTCCAGCTTCCGCTAGCTTGCCTATTTGCCCTTCCAGCAGAAGCAGGCACCTAGAAAGCCCTTCTCCCCCAGTCTTCTTATGAATGTTCCAATTCCCTTTCCCTCTCTTGTTTGGCTGCTGACCCCATTATCTCCACCCTTATGGGGGAATGTGCTGTAGGGGTGTGCTGGAGTCAGTTCAAACTGAGTCTTGAGAAGTGATTGTTAATTTTTCAATGTGAGCATTTTATTTCTTGGAAATCAGCAAAGGTTAAAAATCAGGGCTTAATTTATTATTTTTTTTGATTCTTTACATTTAGGAAAGTGATGGGGGAAAAGTTAATAATGCAGATTAAGCTTAAAAGTTTGTCATGGATACCTTTTTTTTGGAAAGCAGATTGTTAAACACTTACCAACACACCCCTGGAACTCAGGATCCCAACTCACTGCAATCCTCAGCCCTACTTCAATATGGTGAGCTGTGTCCCTTTAACTCATCTTCATCCTCTTGCCAAGCAAAGATGACTGTGCCACTTATAGGAACAGAGAATCACTAACTACAATTCTTCCTGTAAGTGGAGAATCACCAGGCCATACCATCTGCCCTGCAACTACACCCTCCCACCCACTGGGCCTTACCATCTGTCCTTCCACTATGCCCCCCAGACCCCCAAGCATTGCCATCTGTCCTCCATTCCCAGAATGTACTCATTCCTCACCTCCACGTCATAGAATCCCTAGCTCCCTTCAAAACTCAGCTCAAATGCCACTGCCTACAGAAAGCCTTCCATGGCCCATTCTCCTTATTGTGCTCTTCTAATTACTTTATATTTACTGGGTATGTATTTTGCATTTACATATGTGTGTGTATATATATATGTATATATATATATATGTATGTGTGTATGTATGTGTGTGTGTATACACATATTTTGTTTCCCTCAAACAGAAACTCCTTTCATTTTTGGTTTTGTATCCCCAGTACCTAGCACAATGCCTGGCATATAGTAAGTGCTGAATAAATGCTTGATGATTGATAGGCAATGAGGTGACTCTTTTGGGGTGGGGGTAGAAAGGGATGGAGTCCAAGGTACAAATGGAGGAGCTGGTCTTGGCAAAGAGGAAGGTTACCTCTTCCTCAGAGATTGAAGCAAAGAGAGAATGTGTAAAGAGGAAAGAGGGGTTTTGGTGGGTACAGTAGGGGAGTTGAGATAGTTCATGACAGGAAGCATCATTTTCTCAATAATGGAACCAAGATCATATGATGAGAAAAAAGGTGGTATGCGAGGGTCTTTAGGAGCCTGAATAAGAAGAAATTTTCAAATAGCCAGATTAGGGAGTGGCATAGTGAAAAGGAATTGACTAAAAAATATTAGTATTTATCAGTGAAGGCCCAATTGAATTCTATCACATGAATTTGTACTCCCAAGTCACTAGATTTTATGACTTCTTATTCAACAGCTTGGGGGTAGAAGTAGTTGTTTGTTGTTCTCAAAGAAGACCAAAATGACATCATAAGTAGGAGTAGAGAAGGTAGATGGTGGCAGTGTGATCCATAATTGAGAATGTAAATGGCAAAAGGATAAGTGGGCAAGGATTCAAGGATGAAGGACAGTGCATAGTTGAACTGGTTAACTATAGGGTCAAGACTGTGAAAGTATGAACACGAGGCCATATGGGGAAAGGGCTGATAGATAAGGAAGACAGGGAATGACCAAGAGACTGGAGGCTTTGAAAACAGAGAGCAGGCTTAGAAGGAATGTGGTAGTGGGAGAGGTGGGAGGATAGAAGATTTTGATCAGAAATGGAGAGTTCTAGAGTTTAAGATCACAGAGATAGAACAGTTTTGGATAATGGTGAGGTCTCAAGTATGACCATCTTTATGGGTAAATGAGATAAGAATAGATATGAAGGTCATGGGAGTTGAGGAGGTTAATGGACTGGGAGGCCAGGTAGTTGGGGGACAGTAAAGTGAATTCAATTAAAATGAACAAACATTTATAAAGCGCCTTCTACGTGCCAGGCACTGTGCTAGATGTTGGGGATATAGAAAATAATAAAAACCATTCCTACCTCAAGGAACTAACTTTCTCTCTCCTTCTCTCTCTTTCCTTCTCTCTATGCCTCTGTGTGTGTGTGTGTGTGTGTGTGTGTGTGTGTGTGTGTCTATCCTGGACCCAGTCCATCCCCCCTTATTTCTTTCAAATTATTATTTACCTTAGGACCCAGGATGATAAGAGAGCCTCTGTATCTCATGTCATTTCCTTTCATCAGGAAGCTCTAGGAACATGTTCTCACAAATGAGCTGTATAAAAATAGAAGGGACAAGATCTCCATGCTGGTGTCCAGAATTGGCTGCCTTTATTTCCTTCTGGTACAGGCAGTGAGCTCTTGCTGAGACTGCACTAAGAATTTGGGAATAAGACTGTCTAGCTGTGACTCAAGGCTCCACCTGTGAGGTATGTCTAATAAACTATGAGACACAGTACATGCAGTACTGTGTCCTGTGAATATGGGGGATCACTCCCTCATATCCAATCTGTTGTCAAGGCCCGCTAATTTTACCTTTGTAACATTTCTCATATATGCCACCTTCTCTCCTCTGATAATAGTACTACCCTGGTACAGGCCCTCATGGCCATCGCAAATGTCTGCCTGACACAAGTCTCTCCCCACTCTACTCCATCTTCCACTTAGTTTTTCAAGTGATCTTCCTAATGTAGAAGTCTGACCATGTCACTTCACATACCCCCCACCCCCATCCCCATTCAATAAACTCCAGTGGTCCCCTATCACCTCAAAGATCAAATATAAAATCCCCTGTTGGACATTTAAAGTCTTTCATAACCTGCCTCCCCCCAGACCTTTCCAATCTTTTTACTCCTTATGCAACCTCCCCTCCACAAACTCTGAATTCTGCAATCTGGTGTCACTGGCCTTCTTGTTGTTCCTCAACAAGACACTCTATATCCCAACTCCAAGTATTTTCATTGGCTATCCCCCATGCTTGGATTGCTCTCCCTTTTCATCCTATCTTGTGACTTCCTTGCCTTTCATGGAGTCCCAGTTTAAACCCCATCTTTCTCCATCTCTTTTCATTCTAGCTCCTTCCCTCAATTGATTATTTCCAGTTTATCCTGTATATAGCTCATTTGTACACAGTCATTTGCATGTTGTCTCCACTATTAGACTGTGAGCCCTTTGAGGGAAGAGACTATCTTTTACCTTTCTTTGTATACCTAACATTTAGCACAGTGCCTGGCACATAGTAGGTACTGACTAAATTCTTATTGACTGACTGAGTAGTGTCCTATTCCAGATGTGGGATAGGGGATAGAGAATAATAGATTTACAATTTCTTGATATTTTGAGCAGCTTCAAATAACTATAGAATTTTGAGTTATTTTACTTTGGGGAAAAGTTCAAAAGAATCTAATGAACCCCTTTGACCCCATTTCGCACCTCATATATTCCTATCTCCTCCTAGCTCAGCACCAGCTCCAGCCCCTCAGTATGTAATCTTACTCTTCTTTTTAGTGCAGTAGAAAGAGTACAAGATTTGGAGTCTGTGAACATGGGTTCAAATTCTGGTTCTGTGTAAGTTATTTAATCTCTTTGGGTTTCAATTTCCTCATCTGCAAAATGAGAGGGTTGAACTAAATGGCCTCTTAGATCCCACCCAACTCTAAATTTTTTACTATGATGATTATATTACATTTTCAGAGAATCTGCAAAGCAGTAAGTAAATAATTATTTTTTAAAAACCCTGAATTTCTTCCAAACAGCCAAATTTAAAACAAACAAACAACCCACAACATCCTTCTCACCTATTTTTTCCCCTCATCAATGGAGGAGGCAGAGGGGCTGAACTTTTCAGGCTGGTCCATCTACAATAGAGGAGGGAGGGTAGAAATAAGGGCGTTTTCTAAAAAGAAAAGCTGTCCATTCTGACTGTATAAGACAGCCTTTCTTTCCTTCCTACTACAGGCAGCTTCCATGGCATCAGGAGCAAAGGAAGGCAGTTTTTAGAAGGAATGACTAGAACCTCAGAGCAACTTGCTTTGATCTGCCCATTGATGTTCTGAATAGATGACCCCTCTTTTCCTTCAACTCTTCCTTTTCCACTTCTTGGCCCCTCCTTTCTTCCTCCCTTCCTCCGCCCTCCCCCCTCCTCCTCCCTCCCTCCTCTCTCCCCTCCCTCTGGATGGCTGCAGCCCCCTAGAGCTGAGTCGCTGGCTCTCTCTTTGCTCTTTTCCACAGCATTGCAGCAGTCGAGCCTACAGCAAGCAGCTTCCCATCTCTGCAGCCACCTGCGTCTTGGGCCTCCGCAGCTTTTCCTTCAGCCCCATAACCTCGCAGAGCCTGAACGCCCAGCACCATGGCTAGCACCGTATCCGGTAGGCGTCTGTACATCCCTCAGAATTCAGTGGCTTCTAGCCTTTGCAGAGGGAGCCATAGGCTTTTCAAGGGGCGGCTGGGCGGGGTTGGGTGGGTGGGGAGAGAGGAAACCGTAGCTGCTATTGTCTTCATCCAGGCTGGATGTTTTCAGATTTTGTTTTTTATACTAGAAAGAGTGCTGGTCTTGGAACCAGATTGGAACGAAATTTCAATTCTGCATCCTATACTTATTGTGTGACCTTGGGCAAAATACTTAACCCCTCGGTGCCTTAGTTTCGTCATCTGTAAAATGGGATAATTACCCTTGTATTATCTACCTAACAGGAGTGTTTTATGCAAAACACTTTGTAAAACCATAAAGACGTATAGAAATAGATGCTATTTTTGTGTTTCCATTCTCAGTTGCTTCCCCTCCCTGATCGAGAGTCAGGTTCCGCTGCCAGTCAACCAGGCAGAGAAACCCCTGGAGGGGCCAGTGTGAAGACTTGCCTGGTAGGGCAAAAGGGTCTAGAGAAGCAAAAAGGGGTAGAACAGCCTGGGGTCAGGAGGAAAAAGAGCATCTTTGCTTACTACGGATTATTCGGAGGTAGAAAGTCTGGAGAAAGGTTGATCAGAACCTCAGGATCTGGATGCCCTGAAATAGCAGGGTGAGAAATCGGAGTAGGTTGGGGAAAGGTGAAAGGAGGAGAAAATTCAAAATGAGGGTGAGGAAGCTGCAAGGGAGAAAAGGAATGGGGAGCGGCCCCGCATTTGCAGTGTCTAGTCGCATACTCCACTCCCCCGCCTCCCTTGCGGTAAGGAAGGGCAGGGCGCGGCCCATCTCCTTTCCCCAGAATCCCACCGGGCCACCCTTTTTTTTTGATTTAATACTACAAGGTGTCCTCTTCATGGGGTGTCCTTATCTACCAGTAATCCCCTCCCTTCTCTCGCCCCCCTTCCGAGTTGCCCTGCACCACTTGAGGGAGCTCCCGGGGCTGAGTGGTAGAAGGGAGAGGGTTGAGCAGCCACTGCACTGGCCTATAACTGCAAGCACAGCAGCATCCTAGAATTTTCTTTTTTACGAGGTTAATATTGCTCAGCCCTATATTCCACAGAGACTTGGAGCACAGGTCCAGGCTATAAATGCAGATGGAGAGAGACCAATGGATCTTTGTAGATACAGTGAAAAGAAGGAAGCAGACTCCAGATGCATGGATCAATATCCCTGATACAAGTGATGAGCAAGGGAAGGGAGGTGGCATAGATATATCAAGAGATACATGATACTAATAGATTCTGTTAGATTAACATAAAGCTATAAAGAAAGATACACTCATCAACCAGCTAACAGCCAAGATAACGGGCATCCTCGGAAAGGGATCCTTGTTTTAGGACTTCACTGCTGATGGATCCAACTCCTAAATTGCTCATTGATATTCTAAATTAGTGACCTCTCCCTTTCTCTTTCTTTCTCACTCCTTTGCCCCCCCATCCCTCCTCCTTAAGAGTCTCCCTTAGGTGAAGGAAACAGGGATTGTGACAGAGGTGATGTGAGGACTGTGGAGGAGCCAGATTGGAGGTGGTTTCAAAGACTCCTTCACAGCCCCACCCCCGAAGAACATCTCGGGAGGGGGTGGGGGAGTGGGGAACACTCCCTGCGGTAGTAGCAACAGCAGCATTCTCTGTGCCTGTCCTCATTTTTTCCCATGTATCTTCTGTTCTCTGCTAGCTTTGGTTGGAAAGATTTTTCATTGCAGTGGCTTGTTTCTGGGTGACCCTGTGTGAATCAATTCAATTCAGTTCAACAAATTCATTGAGAACCTACTATGTGCACGGCAATAGACTGGGAATAGAGAAAGGAAGCAGATCAAAAAAAGATGAAAAAAAAAAGTAGTCCTTGACCTCCAAGGCTTTATATTCCAGTAGAAAAATCTGGGGAGAGGAGTTTGTCCTTCTCTATTTTGTTGCAGACCTGGCTCTGCTTTCATTAGCTCAGTTAAGAGAGGGAAAACAAACAAAAACAAAACCCCAGACCTCTCCATTTGAAACTACATTATGAAACAATGAATGAATGACACTGTATACTTACTGGGCACTCAGGGCACTTGCCATTATTTGCCACCCCTTCATTAGGTTGTTTTCCCCCCATTTCTCAGAATATTTTAAATTTCTGGAGAAACTGATCCTAGTATGGGGACCTCATAGGCCAACTAGTCCATCCCCATTATTTTACAGATGAGGAAATTGAGGTCTAGGCAGCTTAAGTGACCCAAGGTCACACAGGAAGTAAATATCTGAGGCAAGTTTTGAACTCGGATCTTCTGACTCCAAATCTGGGTTAAACAAAATCCTAGAAAAGACCTTGAGAGGACATCACATCTAATTCATCTCTCTACCTCCTGACAAGAACATACCTAAGCCATTTTAAGCAGACGAAAATCTATTTTCTATTGCCCTCAAGACTACAGTGAAGAAAATCACACAGCTTCTTGGGTCATCTGTTCTCTTTGTCATCAATGTTCAATAACTCTGGCCATCAGGAAATTACCTCTATCCAAAATCTGTCATTCCAATTCATTTCTTCTGATTCTGTTCCCAGAGATGAAGAACAGTTGCTGGTCACTGTCCTCTATATAATAATTCTTTGTAAATTTGAAAATAATTATTAAGCTCCATTTAGCATTCTCATCTTTGGGGAAAATGAATTATGGAAGGCACAGAAACAGGTTTTGGTTTTTACCTTTTTCATTACTGTTTTCTCCTGAACCCTTTCCAAATTTAAATATACCTCTTGAACTATGGGGGCCAGAACACTACCATTTTCTGAAATGGCTAAATGATGCTGACTATGACAAGAGCATTACCTTGTAGTTCTGATTTTCTATATTCCCGGTAGATTTTTCATTTTGTAAGCAACCCAGCATTGCTGATTCATCTCCATAAGATGTTTCACTCTTGTCCCCTGGAGATTTTTCTTCTATATTCTCCTACTTTAAAGCTCTAATGTTTGCCTTTCTTTCTCCAGGGCATCCACCTTATTTTCTTAATTTAGTTCCTTACATTTTGATGTGGAAAGCATCTTAAAATTTAGGGACTGGGTTTTTATTCCATCACTGAGGGTCCTAAAAAAATACACAGTAATATTGGAATAAAGCCCAGCCTCTGCCAAAAAACATAATATTCTCTTGGGTTGATACTGAAGCAAAGCTTTTAGAGTCTAACCTTTCAGCTAGTTTGCACTTCATTAAGAGTTTTATTGTCTTGTGCAAATTTTCCCTTTTCTTTAAAAAAATGTTATTTAAAATAACAATGAAAACCTCACTAAAGTTTATACTCGGTGTTTTACTACTCACAGAGTATCTTGGAAGAACCTGTATTCTAGCTAATCTCCCTCAATGCCTAGAACACAGTAGACACTTAATACTTGTCAGTTGAATTGAATTGAATTGAATGCTTCAGGGAAACCACATTTTAAGGTGGCAAGAGCTCTAGACTTGGAATCAGAAGCCCTTTTTGCTTTAGCACTTATTCCTGTGTGATCCTAGGCAAGTCACATCAACTCTCTGAGCTTCATTTTCCTGATTTGTAAAATGGAAATAATGATACCTGCCTACCTGCCTTACTGGGTTGATTTGCGTTAAGCACTTTGTAAGGCTACACAAATGTAAACTATTATTATTCTCCTAATCTGCTCTTGTCCATCACTCTGTCATAGGAGATAAAATTCACTGACAGCTCTGTGGGTAATTAACCAATATTATCTTATAGAATCATAGAGTTTAGAGCTGGAAATGACTAGCCTCTGCCAACCAACATGACTTAGAAATTATCTAGTAGTTGAGTGCTGCCCCCCAACTTTTTTTTTTTTTTTTACAGATGAGAAACTGAGATCCAGTTAAGTGAAATAATTTCCCTGAAGCTTGTGAGGGACAGAGTTGGGACAAGAAACAGATCTCTTAATTATAAGCTCAGTTCTTTATCCTCTACACCACATATATTAGTTTGTCTCTGATTGTTTTAACCCCATTTTCTATACTTTACAAATTCTCTAAAATTATAGTTAGTAGCCCTGGTTGCAATTCAAGAGAACCACAGGATGAGGGGAAGTGACTTGCTTACAGCTAATAAGTGGCAAAGGCTTCGAACCTAAAAGATCAATATGCATATGTTATTGTTATTATTATTGTTGTTATTATTGCCCAAGGTCACAACAGCCTATTCTCACACTCAGTTCTTCTGACTCCAAGTCCAGCTTGGAGTTGCTGCAGCTCCATTATACTAAAATGGTATCCCATGACATCTAGAACTGAACTAATCTAACTGGTTGACTTATTTCTGAAAGGCCTTCCTCACTTTTGGGCCAGTTTCCTTTCATTCTCTATATTGTCTATTTCAATTTCTGGTATGCTATTTTCTTTGGTAAAGATCAAGATTTTATTTATCTTTTTAAAAATTATGTATTTATTTTAAACATTCTTTTCTTTTTATTTTAAAAATTGTTTATTTAGTATTTTATTTTTCCCCAACTACATGTAAAAACAATTTTTGACATTCATTTTCAAAATGTTGAGTTCCAAATTCTCTCTAAAATTCTCTTCGATATAGGTAATAGATGTGTCGTCATGCAAAACATATTTCCATATTAATCATGTTGTAAAAGAAAACATAGACCAACCCCCCCCCAAAAAGAAAGCAAGTAAAAAAAGTATGTTTCTATCTGATTTCAGACTCCATCAATTCTTTCTCTGGGAATGGATAGCATTTTTAAAGATCGAGATTTTTAAAAATATAAATGAAAGTGTCCTATTACCAGAATTCCTTCCAAGTGTATTTTATCTTTTCTTCATGTTATATTTAACAACGTGCTTTTTCATCCATGTCCTCCTCTATCTCTAACATCTCTACTTCTGTTGAGGGCACCATTGTTCTTCTAGTCATTCAGGTTTACAATCTTAGAATCATCCTGGATTCTTCCCTCACCTTCTCTGTCATCTTCAGTCAGTTGACCTTCACAATAAAT